GGAAAGAGTTAAGAGCTGGATAAAAACGGGACATAACAATAAATTATCTTCGGAAAACAAAACAAACCTATATGCAAGTAAGGAGAGAAAAGAGATGCACGTCAGAGAGAAAAGGATTTGCAGGGAAATGGTGCTGCCGGAAGGAGGATGAGGCAGCAAAGTCATCGACACAAAGCCCATCTTCTGCCCCCCGCCCCCGCCGGGACAGATGGCTGTACGGCCATTCCCCCTTACCTCCTCTGCGGTGACCATGGCGATCACATTCGCTCCCTGCTCCCACACCATCTGCCAGAAGTCATGGCATGTGTGTGGCAGAGGCCCCTGAGTGGCGATATAGTGCCATTCTGCCCCACCAACCACCACCTGGAAACCAAGGCAAGCATTAGTGAATAAACCCCAAATCCAGGACAGAATTACATGCTGACCATGGGTCCTTTTGTAGCCACCTGAAAACCTTGAATAATATTTTTAGGCCAAATGTGTTAGTGCTATCATCAAAAGCCCTGACACCATGGATGGCTAGTGACACATGCTCACATGAAAATACTTTTTGCCACTCAAGCTTATTACAATATACCTCATCATTTTTGATCTACAACCCACAGTAATTATGTACAAACCAGTGCATATTAAAAACATATACATAAAACACATATATATATACCCACATATACAATATTACATGAATATATGTATATAGCCTAACAAGTTGTTACAGAAATAATAGTTATGTTTCCAATGTGCAATGTACTGGTAATTGCCATTCTTTTCTCCTTTTTCTAGTCTATTCCATTAAAAAACAAAAGAAAACAAAACCAAAAAAACCCAAACTGCTCCCGACTACTAAATTGCTTTCATATACCACTACCATATTGTGGTCCACAGTCTGAGACACAGTACTCCATGACATCCTTTTAAATAATAGAAAAATCTACCATGGAATAACACCCCTTTGGGAGCAATGGCTTTCTACCACTGCCCTGGTTATGAAGTGTGTCCTAAACCTCTGTTGTACCCGCTACTCTGTACCACATACAGTAGAGGTACCATGCATGTACTTAAGCCAACAGTACATGATATTTTATCATCACCTTCCCCTCGTACAATACCACAGCATCCAACTGAACTTTGGAGTCATGAGATGATTTTGGATAATAAAATCATTATCCCACACAGCTCAGGATGATCTTGGGAGGATAATTCTGCAGCTATAAATATTAGCAGCAGAGACGCAACAATAAAAAGTCATGTGTCAAGTGTGAAAGCTCATGCTTTCAGGGTGAAATGGTGGCCTTTGGAGGGATTCTTTCTGGGTTTGCTTGATACTGCCAAGTCAGGCTCCCTTACACATTCACCAGTGGGGATCTCAAGATGGTGCTAGGGGCAATGAAGTGATCACTTTTTGAAACTTTTTCTCTCATTTATTTTATGAAACTATACACTAACTTGATTCAAACAAAAACAATGTCAGTTATTGTCTCGTTACACAAGGCATGTTTAGGTCAAAGCTGGCAAGCAAAATCCATTTTCCGAGTACTGGTGGGAGATAACACTCATACATTTGCTGGCTGGCTGGCTAGGAGTTTGGCTTATCTGTGGAATTGTGATTTTAAACATTAGCCTCTCTGGCACCCTACATATAGGAGCCATAAATACTCCCAGAGTACGCTGCTGCCGGGGGCCTTTCAGCATATTCCCAAGTATTGACAGGAGGGTATTAAAAACTGCATTAAAAACACAACCACCAAAGCTACTGAGGTAGATTTCACAGATGTGAATCCACGTCTGGAGCAAATAAATCTCTGTTCTGTGTTCACGGCTGCTTGGAACCCAGGGAGAAAACATTAGCAAGACATATAACTCTACTCCAAAAACACAAGGACAAGTTCTTGCAAGCTCTCTGGGTCTATTAAACACACCCATGTCTAACCCGGATCCACAAGATGAAATGTGGGCCTCAGAGAATATGGAGGAAGGGATGTTAAGAACACCCGCTGGGCACGGCGCAGGCAGACTGACAGCTTTTTCCAGAGAGCAGATGGAAAATGGGGGAGGCGATCTGGCCAAAAGAAGAAGATAGTATATTGCAGCTGTGGAAGATTTTCTCAGAGAGTCTAGCAAGATGCAGCTGTGTGATCTGCATCTTTGCATGCATTATTCTGGTAATTGTTTCGTTATCTAAACTAAGCCCATGAAATTCACCACCATCAGTTTCCTTCAGAGTTTCCTGGGGCTCAGTTTTTACTGTTTCATTGTTTTGAGAGTTCTCACTCTGAAAAATAAGAGTAGAATACACAATATGATCCAAGAGAGTTAACGCCTTCCTATTTCTTTGGACAGGACTTTCTGACACTTAAAAAAATATATGTGGTTATCTATGCTGCGTGAACAAAAACACTCAACCCAACCATGGTACACTTCCCATATTCTGTATCAAAACCGTTAGAACTGATACATGGGCCGGACATCTGGCTGTATTTTAAAGGCTTAGAGGAACCTACCTATAATTTGGCTACAGTTGAAAAGTCCAATGAAGAAAGGAAATAATGCCAGACACAGGTTTTCTAAGGTTATTGATCTCAGCAGACTACGAATCTGAACCTTGTTGAAAAGCGTCCTGTAACAACTGTAACAATTATACTAATACAATTCACATTAGTACATAGATAATTCCCCTACTTCAGAGGTCAGAGCAAATGGTGACATTCTAAACAAATGTGTTCTGTCATTAGGAGCCCTGAGGAAGGTAAGCTATTTAGGAAACACCTCACTGCATGCACACATGCATCCATAACTCTAAATTCTAACTGAAGTAAAGCTAAGCTGACCAATTTTAAAGTCTGTGAAATACTGAGATATGAAGATTTGGAGTATCTGAAATAGTAACAAACATTTAATGACCCAAATGCACTGAATAATAATGTGGCACATTTTGCAAGATTCATTATCAACCACACCATTATGGCTTATGTTGAAATTAGCCCACTCTTCTAAACATCACGCAAATTTGGGACTTACTTCAGCTCTAAAATGCCTAACCAGTAGTATTACAAGGGAGAAACAGTAAGTTTCTGTTGCTCCTGAACATCATAACTCCAGTGACAGAAATATAATGCCCGTGATTTCCAAATTCTCCATCATCTGCAACTTACAAACTGAAAGGGCTAATCCTCAGCTTTACCTGTGAGTTTTCGGGAGAGTTACAACACACAGAGAGAAGAAAAAGATAAAACCCTCCGTAATGAGCAAGCTTCAGAAACAGCTGACCTGAGGTTTTTTCCCTGAGGCCGCTGGGCTTCCTTCTCTCTGTGCAGTGATAGGCATGGCCTTCCAGTTGACTAAGAAAAGCACAGGAGTTCAAAAACACTCCCTTGGGGTTTGGGGACAAGCCAAGACGCACAGTGGCAGCCCGTATGTTCTCTCCTCCCTGCCCTTTTACCGTTAACCCAGCGATCTTCAACCAGCCTTCCCAACACACCCCTCTCCACCCCCCACTTCTTACCTTGATGTGGGAGGCGTTAATGTAGCCTGTGTTATTTTCTTTGGTCGGTATGAGCTCTACGCGGTTCTCCTCATAGGGGACAACCTCCCGGATACGGCTGCGCTCAGCATTTTCTGGCAGAGCTGCTGTGCTGAAAACGCCATTCGCCTTTTTCTTTGGAATCTGCTCATATTCTGTGAACACCATTCCCTCTTCAAGCTTTTTCTTCAGGGTTCTGAACTGCAACAGAAATTGATCTCCAGCTCTCTGAATTACCTTATCCAAACACTCCAACCAAACCACCAGATTTCTTAAAATATTTACAGTGACAGTGTGAATAAGTAGTTTCAAGATGGACAACTAATATTTGATTATTTGGTCTCATTACCGACCATATTGCTAGTGTCTCTTATCCAATAACCAATTTCCTTCTCACTCATGCCTTAAACAGAACGAATCCGCCAGACCAGGCAAGAGTTGAAATTCAAAATTAGTGTTTTCGTTATTATCACCTCTGTTTAAAGTTCTAGTGATAAGGAGACTGTTCATCTTAATTACCCAAACGTCCTTCCCTCCACTTACACAGCTGTTCTTAGCTAAATTTTAAGATGATACTGGTCTACAGCCCTCTAGCCGTGAGGATTAGACGCCCCATCTTTTATTTTTCCCACTGTCAAGCTACTAATAACAAAACATGGTATTAATTAGATTAAATGATCCCTCTAAAGACCCTTCTGGCTCTAAGAGCATGTTAATACTTCATACATGCTGGCAAAACCTAAAACGCTAATCTTGCTGTAATGCACTCTATTACATTTACATGACCTGTTCCTTAACCTGACAGCAATCTCAGGAACTAAAAGAACGTGTTTCTTCACCTCTGAAACACTACCCCGCAACTTCTGGTTACTTTTCCCACAATGCATTACCCTAACAATGATAAATCAGCCATATGTTATAGCCAAACAAGGGGCCAGTGTATTAAAGAATTCTATAAATGCGTGGGTAAAAGAATCACTCCCTAGTAAAGGGTACTTGTTCACAAAAATCACAGAAATTGAGAAGCTACAGCAACCACCTAACTTCTTCATTTTGCAAAAAAAAATAAAGACACAGGCCCAGAGAAATTGAATGACTTGACCAAGGTCACACAGCTAGGTAAGGGCTGGTGTCTTTAGGGGTCGTCATGGCACCAACCTGACAAAGAAAAACATGAGATGTTGAAAAGGATCAATTTAATACAGCACAGACCAGGTCTTGCTAAGCTTCAAACTGAAGAATGAATTCGTCAAACACGCCTTGGTGCTGGCATGTCTGGGCGAGGAGAGAGCGTTGGAATCCTAAGACCACAGAGAATGAGTCACATGTTTGACAAGCCCAGCGCTTACCCTCTCATCCATGGGAACTCGGGTGGCATCAACGCGACTTTCTTCCCGCCCCGAGCCCCGAGCTACCGAGAGTCCGTTCAAGGCTGCCAACATCAGTGGCCTCTTCTGTGCCTCCAGGCCTGCCATCTTCTGCTTCTCTAGATTCTTGCGGCAAGAAAAGGCATGTTCTCATTGTTTGTAATACCAGGAGAATGCTGGAATGTGTTTTAATCTCCCCAAATCTGTAACTCCCCAGCCAAGGAATGCAGACAATCACCATTAGTGGGGCAAATTCAAACACAGTCTTCCCATTATTCCCACTGTGCCGGAGGAAGCCGGTTCCTCCAGGCCTCCTGAGCTTTTATGTAAAATAGAGGAATGAACGAACAAACAAACAAACAAACAAGAGCAAAGACTCCACACAAATACACCCTGCCACGGGGCTCACAAGAAAACAGTGTACACGAGACACTTTAGGAAGATAGGGGCTGAAGGAAGACGGGACAAGGAAAAGAGAAACAGAGATTCATGAATAATCAAACTTAATCACAATGATGGACCTTTTATACAGATTAAACAGTAAAAACCTTATAAAAACTGTTTGTTGCATTCTTAAGAGGTTGGATACATACATAAATACACAAAAACCTTCCCAAGTTTCCATTCAGAGGGGCTCAAGACTGAGGGTGTTAATCCTGTATTGACTCTCTCTGGTCCCCGGGATATCATCCCCCAAATGAGAGCTGCTGTGGTTTTAGCAAAGTCATTAATACCACACAGCCTGGGGCCACCTGAGATGACCTACCCAGCAGCACCCTTCATGCTTCGTCCAGAAGACCCACAGGAATGGACACCATGGCTCCCAGTGCCCATGGTGGAGCAGCGGTGGATGTGACTAAGCCACGGGAGAATACGGATCTAGGGGCCCAGCAGAGCACTTAGGGGAAGGTTTGGTTGTTAACACCTGGCCCTTGTTTGTGGCTTTGCAACTCCTCTCTATCTCACCTGCACAGACACTGAAACTGGGTCAGTCGGGGCTCCTGTTACTTGGTCTATGGCTGTGCTTCCTCACGCCCTCTAAACTGACTGAGGTACCAACAAACCTCCATTTACTCATTTCAGGCAAGACAATGGGAGCATTTTCCACCAAATAATTTTGTCTTAGAAGACAAAAGCACAGAGAGACTTCATGAAGCGTAGAAACAGATGAGTTTTACAGAGTTTATGATTTTGATCCACACGAAAGGGAAACCAATTTGCAGGTTCCTTTGGTTGCCACAGATGAAGGAGTCATCTTATTCCTGTTTTCTTTTTTCAAACCTTTAGGTATTTTTTTTCTTAGTCTGTCATTTAGAAATCTACTCCCCAGAGAAGTATCTTGATGGAGCAACGGTGCAGATTATTCTAATTGTGGGTGTAAGGGGATGGCATTACACCCCTACATGCATCCCCTCAATGCCACCTACAGTCAGAATGGAGCCTTGGGAACTATATCCAATATCCTGGGATAAACCATAATGAAAAAGAATATATATGTATATAAATATATCCGAGACGCTCTGCTGTACAGCAGAAATTAAGCACAACATTGTAAATCGACTATACTCCAATAAAGTTTAAAAAAAAAAAAAAAAAAGAATGGAGCCCTGGCCTTTATGAGTGATTCTGTCAATAAGATGCTTGGTCCAGTGACAGGGCTGACCCATCAGACAAACAAAAGGAGCATCTCAGAGGAAGATTAACTGTGAGAAAGTGAGAAAGGTCCCAAAGGTATAATATTCTTAAGAATGGCCCTGGTTTCTCAACCCCAGACAGATTTTGAAAGTTTTGGATTTAAATGTGGTGGTGGTGTGTGTGTGGGGGGAGGTGTTAGTTTACTTGCTTATTAGTTTGTTTTTGTGAGGGAGAATTTTCCCCCCATTATCTCTTTTAGTTGAGAATGTTTTACTCCTCTGAAAAGTTTTAAGAGAGCAAATTTTTTTTTAATAAATGGTCCTGAGGACTTTTTAATAAACAGCCCTTCTGCTTCCTTCCCACCTGCACCATAAGGTAACCCCAACTGGGCCCAGAAGCCCAAAGAAACCTATTTGCCTTTCTTGGGAAAGGATTACTACTTATCTAATGAAAATTGAAACCCCAGGGATAACCTATTTCTCTTAGCTCCTCCTTACTTATCCTATCAGCTTATTACCAGAGATCAAAAATAATTAATTCAAAGATCTGATTTGGCCTTTTCTCTTCCCAGTACCTGATTTGGGGTTAGGTGACTAAAGACAGTGAAATGTCTTCCAGGCAGCAGTAGGAGCCAGGAGAAGCTATCAAGACAACAAGCCTGAACTACCCATCAAATGAATAAGCACCTCCAGAATTGGAGGGAGAGACTTGCCTCAGGGCAAATTCTCACCATAGCTGTCTCCCTCCAGTTCCTATTTGGTTACATTTTCTCATTTTCTTATCCTAGGGAGGCCCTGACAGCCTCCTCTTCTTAGCCATGCCTAACAAGCCAGGCAAAGGCTACCCTTGGTGGGGGAGGCGGGGACAGACAGTCATCTGGGATGTAGGGAGGTCATTGGGGTGAGTTTCTTCATAAAGACAATGGAGACCCATCCCAAGCATCAGTGCCAGTGGTGGTCACCACCTTGCCTGGCTCACTGAAGACCCTCCAAGTCCTACTCTGAGGTTGGGACACCAGCCAAGGGCGGCAGCCCTTGAGCACACAAGTGTGTAGGATTTGGGAAAAAAATCAGAGAAGGGACTTCCCTGGCGGTCCAGTGGTTAAGACTCCGTGCTTCCAATGCATGGGACCAGGATCTTAGCTGCTGGTCGAGGAACTAAGAACCCACATGCTACGAGGCATAGCCAAGAAATAAACATTTTTTTAAAATTAAAAAAAAGAAAGAAGAAGAAGGTACACATTAAAAAAAAAAAAAACAGAGAAAATGACATAGGGCTGGGGTAATGATGTTCCTGAACTAGTTAAGGGGTAAAATTGGCTACTCGCTCTTACCCAACGGATGGGTGGAAACAGTGGAAAAGGCCCTTGCTCCTTTGTGATAATGCCTGAAGCACTATGTAGGGAACCAGTGCCATGAATTTGGCCACAGGCTTTTGTTTAATACAGGTAACAAGAGAAGAGAATGAATATGACCTAAGTGAGGCTAGGGGACCATGCAGGCAGCAGCTGAATGCTTAGACTGATGGGTTCTTGATACCGAGTTGTGTTAAAGGGGTGTGAGGCCAAGAAGTGCTGAAAATCCCTTTCTACCAGTGGTTACTTTTCCCAAACTCAGAAAGCTCTCCCCCCAGGCACCCAGCCCCACATCTCATTCCAGCATCTCATTCCATCCTCAGGAAAAAGCTCCCCCACAAGGCACCTTGCCCCGCATCTCAGCCCAACGGTCTTATTTCCCACAGGCACAGCACAACTTTCACAATTTCCCTCTAGGTGGAAAAAGTTACACCTGTACCAAATTCTTAGCGATACTCCACGGATGTGGCCAAAACCGTGAGGCTAAGACTGTTCTTAAGGTTTGTCTAAAGTAGGAACGTTGCTATGGACTAGACTCCCAAACCGAGGGACTTGGCTCCCTTAAAACTTTGGCTCTTTACAGGTTGATTCCCTCTGGAGAACTGGGAGACTTATAAATGAAGAAAGTCTAATGAACTCCATCAAAGCCCATTTTAAGTGACAACTGCTCTGGCTACCTTATAGTTCAGCTGTGGTACATGCAGAGGAGCAGTCACTCTATGAGAGGATTTTTTAAGGGAGTGAATACTTCCAGGACAAGTGTGGGGTGTGTATAAATATGCATGTGTGAATTCTTGATAGAATAAGAATGGTTAATGGAAGCTCAACGGTAAACTTCTGGGTTTATTGTAATTCTCTTGGATTTGTGTTAAACATCTCTCGAAACAAGATTTGAACATAAAGCTGGATACATCATGGACAATACTGATGAATGATCATGACATCTAGATCTACACAGAAAGCTGTGCTCTGAAGGGATGCTCCTTTTAATATCTAATTGTGGGGGTGGGGGGAATGCTTTCCCCTGGAAAAACCAAAGTACCAGGAGATGGAGGAAGGTGAGCTCCTGGCAGCTCACGCAATGGGAAGCCTGACCCTGAATAAACAGCAAATGCTGGCCCAGACACCAATCTCAACACCACCAACCTGTAAGATCCTGACTCTCTCACAGCACTTTGCACCAAGCACACCTATGAGAAGCCATGAATGAGAACGGAAGGTTTATGTGAAAACAAAGTTCTGTGAAATGAAACACTACCTGTTTATATGCCAAGTGATTTTTTTTTTTTTTTTTTGCGGTACGCGGGCCTCTCACTGTTGTGGCCTCTCCCGTTGCGGAGCACAGGCTCCGGACGCGCAGGCTCAGCGGCCATGGCTCACGGGCCCAGCCGCTCCGCGGCATGTGGGATCTTCCCGGACCGGGGCACGAACCCGTGTCCCCTGCATCGGCAGGCGGACTCTCAACCACTGCGCCACCAGGGAAGCCCCATGCCAAGTGATTTTTAAATCCCTACCACGTTCCCTGAATAAGCCTTGCGCTTTCTTCAGTGCCCAGAGGATGTATGTCTAAATCATGGAAAAGGAGCAGAGGGGGCTGCGGGCGAGGGTGGAGATCAGCCCGTTTAACTGTCCCTTGAAAGATGCCCTGGGAGAGGAAGCCACTTACCCGGATCATCATCTCTCTTTCTATAATGCTGTCCTCCAGGGAGAACATTTCAGACACAGGTCTCTCCTTCACAGGCTCTTTCTTGACCCGCTCCTTCACACTTGTCAGGTCGGGCTCTGAGATGGATGGACCAAGAGAGGACCCGTTGATGGCCATCTGGTCAGCCCGGGAGATACTGATGGCCTTGGCTGGCCCCTGCCTCAGGACCCTGGCCCTGGCGATGGCGGGAGGAAGGCACACCTGGTCTTGCCCCAGCGCCCCGTTGCTCACACTTTTCCTGGGTCCGGGGTACTCGGGTGGGGGCTTGTTTGGAATGCGGGCTAAGGCGGCCTGTAGCTGGGCGCTGTACTCCATCTCCTCGCGGAGTGCGGGGATCTGGGGCACCGGTTCCGGAGCCTCCTCTTCTTCCTCCTCGCTCTCGCTGCTGTGGATCAGCATCGTGGCATCCGAGAAAGTCTTCCTGTGGTGATACTCGGGAAGCTGGGGGACCTCGTGGCTCCCCGGCACCTCCTCGGGGGGCCCCGGCTCTCGCAGCGTGTTGCGGCGGGCCATGGGGATGTTGAGCGACTTCAAGGTCATGGCTTCCATGCCCCGCACCATGCTGCTCATCACCTCCAGGCTGTGGCGCTTGTGCACCGTGCCGTGGTGCTTGGTGGCCGTGAGGGGCTCGCTCACCTCCTGGAGAGACTGATGCACCACCGGGGAGCTGTCCTCCTGGAAGGTCTTCACGGACAGCTGCACTTTGCGAGTCACCAAGTCGGGGCTACTGCCGCTGACATACTTGTGGCGGTGGCTGGCGAGGTCCGGGGTGCTGGTGGCGGGGCGGGGCCGTGGGTAGGGGGGTGGTGGCCGGAAGAGATAGTTTTTGAGCATGTGGGCCGTGTTGTAGTTATAGGTGCCCTGGAGCTGCATGTTGGCCAACTCCGGGGTGCTCACTGTGTGTGAGATGGCGCTTGCCCCGGGCTTGCTTGGCACCGTGGTATTTTTCGGGTTGATCTGGTCCGATGGACTGACCAGTTTGTTACCGTAGCCCCCCTGGGGCCCATAAGGGACAGTGTAGGGGTGCCTCTCCCGCATCTCAGGCTGGCTGTACACCAGATCCTCTGGCTGGTTGTAGGCGTGGGTGTTGATGATGTTGAGGTTTCGCAGGGACTGGCTCTGGCTGTCCATGTGCACGACCCCCCTCTTCATCTGCCGCATGACTGTCTCATAATCGGGGGTCGGCCGGTAGGATGGCACGATGATGGCGCTGTGCCGGTGGCTCGGGATGTAGTCAGCCCGCATGATGTCACTCCCAGGGATGCTGAGGTTGGAGGACACGGGAGAAGCCTGGATGAAGCTTTGGGAGCAACTGAGGGAGTTGACGCTGTGAATGCTACACACACTGCCATTGGTGACGGTGCCATTTATATAACTTAAGTCCAGGCTGTTGTGCGAGTTGCAATACAAGGCTTCTTCATTCCCATGGAAGATGCTGTCTGCAAGAAGGCACACAGAGGCTCGTGAACATCCACACCATCCTGCTTCAATCAAGTTCATCCTCACACTTACAGAAGTCATAAAAAGGGAAATCCCACGGTCTCCACCCACATATTCCATGGAAAAACTGGTAACTTCTTGGGCAAGATGCCAACATATGGAAGGAACATTTTAAAGCACACTAAAAAGCAAAAGTGAATCTAAACAAAGAAAGCTATGCACATACGGAACCGTTATCACCTGGGTTAAGTTCTCGATTTGGCCATGAGCTTTTAAATCAGGCACCAACAATGGCCCTCACATTGGGAGACCTGTCCTCTTGTTCACGGCTCAGCGACAGAACTGGATGTTTGGGCCAAGAAGTCAAGAACTTTAATAGGGCAATAGATTTGAAATTATTGAGTACTGGGAGCTGATCTTCCTGGCTGCAGTGGGAAAACTCCCTGTATCTGAGGGACTGCCGAGCATCCGTCAAGGCACAAGGCAAATAACACAGTCAGGATGTCAGCATGCGTGGCTGCTCCATTCTGATCAGCAACCAACGGAGGGCAAAATAAGAATCAGGCGGTTTTTTTAGCCACTGCCTAAAACCCTCCTCTAGAGTTGGTTTCATCACTGAGGTCAGTTTCACATGAAAATTAATAATACTTTAAAGAGGTACCTAAAGAGATAAAAAGCAGATTTCTAAAGTAAGGCCCATTCTGGGTGTCCAGTGTTCCTTTAACACACACGTACACAGACACCCCTAGGCAGGCAACCTCTTGCCAACACACTTTTCTGTGGGCAAAGTATATTCATTTTTTACACTATAGATTTAAGCATGAGCAGAGTAGAAGAAAGCAAAGGCAGAAAAGATTAAAAAACAGAAAAGGTGACTGAAAACACTTGGCTGCCTGAAGAGGAGGGGTGGGAACATAGACCAGATGAGATGATAACAGGCGAGAAAAACTAGGAGAACGTGTTGCATTTATCCACCTTAATGGGGTTTGGTGCCCTCCCATAGAAGCAGGGTAACTCTGCTAGTCTGCTTATAAAAAGTTGTGTTTTACTAAATTATATCATCTTGATTATCTTAGTCTCCATGCTCACATTTAGACAGTGCAGAAAGATTCAAAACAGCTAGCATATGATAACCCAGAAACAAATTATCCAATTACCATACTGTCAACATCCAATGTTTAATCCCATTCCTTTTTGAGATACAGTTAGTGTAATGATTACAGAGCCTGGCTCAAGAGTTAGGACACCAATCTTCGTATCCAAGCTTCCCAGTGCCCTTTCTGTACCCCAGTTTCTGTATCTGTCAAATGGAAATAATAACAGTACGTATCTCCTAGGTTTATTTTGAGGATTAAATGAGACAATACAGTGCAAGTGCTCAGAACAAGTGCTTAAGGAGAGGAATTGCTCTATAAATGCTCATTCTCAGAATAATTATTACTGGAATGGGGTTTTTTTTACACACTTTGCATGGGAGTGTTTAGGGAGAAAAAGAGGAATAAAACAGTTTAACAAGTGCACTGAGAAAGGGGCCAGTGGGAGAGATCGGAAAGGAGAGATCAAATGAGGGGCTGAGGGCTTCCCTGGTGGCGCAGTGGTTGAGGGTCCGCCTGCCGATGCAGGGGACAAGGGTTCGTGCCCCGGTCCGGGAAGATCCCACATGACGCGGAGCGGCTGGGCCCGTGAGCCATGGCCGCTGAGCCTGAGCGTCCGGAGCCTGTGCTCAGCAATGGGAGGGGCCGCAACAGTGAGAGGCCCGCGTACCGCAAAAAAAAAAAAATGAGGGGCTGAGATTTTGTGTGTATTTCTTTCACTTATTCTGATGCCTGTGTTCTCTGTCACCTTGAAAACCTGCTTGACTGTTACAAGCTCTCTGACACTGACAAGGAGGATGAAGAGTATGCTGTGGGGCTTAGCTGTCACTCTGCTCTCTGTCCCACTTACAAGAAGGAAGAGGAGAAAGGAACTTGCTCACTGCCTTCCCCCAAGTCCCTCTGGAGTCAATTCTGGGGAAATTCTCCTCTCAGGGGTAAATGATATTCTATGCCTTTCACAAATCCAAGCTGTTGCCTGCTGCCATTCAGACAATGACAAAGTTAAAATGAAAAGTATCATGGTCACCCCCCAAAAAAGTCTCAGTACCCATCACCAGTTCTCAACTTTGTGTCTTAAGAAGGGACAGCGGCAAGCCAGTTACCTTGAGAAGTGTGTGTTTCCGAGTAGTGTTCGCCACACTGGACATGCATGGGAGGCAAGATGTACGGTTGTTGCCGGGGCTGAAACAGAGAACACAGCACAGGTGGGGGAGGCCTTGGCGCAAACGGCCGTAACACTCACGAGCACCAGGGTGAGCACGCGATGGTCCCTATCGCTCACCCCGCCTGCAGGGAGGCACGCTGCAGATGCTCTGCCCTCCACACTCAACCCAACCCTTCCCTAAGCATCTGCACCCCCATCTCGTCACCAAGCTCAGGACTGGAAAAACAAGAAGTGGGGAATGGGGAGGCTGGTTCAAGGTGAGAAAGAGGCTGTAATCAACATGAAGGCACCTATTTATAACGTATTTTCTAACACACCTGCAAGGCTCCCAATGCCTTTTTTAAAGGAATAACTCAGAAGATGTATTTTATTATGTTCCACCTAAAACATAATGAGAGTAAGGGGGAAGCCTGTTTCCTTCTATTCAAAATTGGGTCCCTCCTGAAGCCACAAGTTCGTACCCATCAGCACAGTTGTACCTATGACCCCAGTTCACAGTGCCACATCAGCCTCAAATAGGGACAGGGGAGTGTTAAGATGGGCCCACTTGCAAATTTATATAAAATCTGAAATGTGATCCCTAACAATGAGCGTGCAGTTTCCAGGACCACTTATTGACCCTCCCATTGCAGAGGATCCAGTTCAACCATCTAGCCCTTCAGTGAGGACTCTTAAAGATGGACATTTAGACTCAACCCGAATAACTCCGTGCTGCAGGGGAGGGTGAAACTTTTAGAGAAAACACCAAAATGCTGAGAGAGCTTCACTAACTGGGGAGCTGAGAAAGGAAATACGATGAATGGCTAATACGGTCTAGAGCAAGTCATTTAACCTCAGTAGGTCTCAGCTTCCCGTCACTCAAATCAGTCTCCTCCCTCCAACATTATCCATTTTATTCACGTATTAGGGTTCCAGGTAAAAATGTGTTTGAAGGAAGAGTTTTGATATTAAAAAATAAACTTTCAGCTTGTAAACCACCAAAGAGGATGATCTCTTATATTTCTATTTGATTATTTTTAAATTAATCTTATAGATATTAGTTTAAATGTTACTGCTTTGGGACAGAAGCTAAGATCAAGTCAAAAAAAAAAACAAAAAAAAAAAACAACCCCACAAAGCCAGCAGGGGTCACACTTTCTCAGTATTCCTCAACAGAAGAAGACTACGCAGAGTCCGAGGCTGGGCAAATGACTCATCTACTATTTCCTTTGCTACAAATAATGTTTAAGCATCAAAGAGGCAAATAAAGAAGGTAATGAAGACAAGAAATCCAAAACTTAAGGAGAATCAGGGTAGAGGAAGTAAAGAATTGAAATTAATCTAAGTATTAATCAGAGTATCAGCTCTTCTAAATATTCCCAAATCTCTCTTGGCTGGTTTTTGAGTAGCAATTTAAAAATATTTTTCCTCTTTTTGATAATACATAATTCAACTCAATTTTTCCATGATTGGACAGCCAGTCTTTAGGTTTAAAAAAACAAAACAGAACAAAACAAAACAGTAGGCAGGGATTCATACAAGGGAACAGAAATATACAGCAAGGCAAAGTTGGCTCACCTCTGCCTTCTCTCGCTCTTATTTAAAAAAAAGAAGAAAAATCCTATAAGTAGGTGACTGTTTATGAACTGGAGTAAGTCTGTAAGCAATACAAGTGAGAAATAGTAATAGCTAATCCTCCAAACACCATTTCAGGATTATTTATTGTCTCTTTATATATTTCAATATATTATTCTGTTTCTTTCCAGATCTGCTAACACAAAAACAAATTAGATGCCACAATACAGGAGCCAGAAGGGCAAGAGAAAAACAACAATTAGAAGCCCTTGTTATCAGCCAGGAAGCCCAAAGGAGACAATGTTCTCTGGTTTTACTCTCACTCATCCCAAGGAACTCTTGCTGAAATGGTTTAATCCTAAAGGGCAGAGGAAAGGGAGAAGCCAGGAATCTGGCTTCCTGTAGATTATCTTCATCCAAACAAAACAGGAAAGCCTCTGTATCTTCTCTAGATAATTAGGATGAGATCAAATCACGAGATAGCCCTAAAACACTTTGCTTCCCCTGGTGTTTCATGGACACAAGTGAACATTTATGTCACTAGTAAAGACATGTGGACTCTGAGGAAGCGAAAAGGAAAACAGTATCAACAAAGAAGAATAAGGAAACAAGTGCCATGAACAAATCTACTGGTCTTCAGGGGAGAAGCCCAAAGCAGCCCCTCTACATCTCCAAGGCAAAGACCTCTTGTGAGATGTTGCGCATTAACACAGAGATTAATAATATTCACATGGGTTTGCAGGAATTATCAATATTATGTGATATGATGACCAAACTCTAGAATTCTAAGAGTTCATGTCAGTGCATTTTCCAGAAGGAAAAAAAAAAAATTCCTAAAACAGTTTCTTTTAAAAGACAAGTGAAAGATGTGCTATAGGATATATATTGCGTATAAAGAAAAGTTCAATTTTATTGTCCCATCAACTCAAAGGAACTGTTCAACCTACAAACATTTCAAGGTCACATGTTTATTCTGATTTTGTGTAAAATAAATCATAATCTAAAATAAAAGAATTATGATGTAAAACAAGTAGACATTTTAAAGGAAACTGACTCTCCCACGTCTTGCTATGATATCATCCTTAAGTAATTCTCAAAATAAAACACAGTCTAAGACAGAACACATGCATTGAAATGAGTTGTGTTTCCTTATTCACATGATCAGTAGAACAGTTTTTAAAAAAAGGCTAATGGTAGGTAGAAAAGTGGATCAACTCAAATTCTGTTGGCCTTAAAATTAGAAAATTAATTAATTTTCTTCCCCACTGAAAACTCTACCTAAGACCATCAACTAGACTCCTTCAATTTTTGCTCATTTAAAGCAGATATTTTCTGACTAGTTTATTAAGCTCTGTCTATGGCAGTGAATATAAAAGAATTTGTGGAGATTATAACTGAAGACACGTCTATATGCAAAAATCATAAATAGTGGATAAAGATAGATAGATAAAGATAGATAAAGCAAGTGGAAAAAAACACACAGTAGGTTGCGTGCTCAAGGAACATGGTCTCATCGGCCCAGACTAAAATTCATGGGGGTGAGCCCTGAATCACACTTAGAAAAGTGACGGACATGGGCGGGCACAAGAGGGACAAAATGGGTGTGCATCACACCTGCATAGCAGACTGATGCCCTTCTGTGTTCTCGCCATATCTCGCCTGGTCATGAGGTCATGACCTAGTCATGATGCCCTAGTCATTCCTCTCCTCAAGTTAACAACAAAGGGACACTCACACCCCGACAGTCAGAGGACTTGATAACTGAAGATTTCATACATACCAGGGAGGACCGGCTCCAGGTGGGCTGGCGTCTGATAGGGGGTGGAGAATTTGATTGTCTACATGAAAAGTTGAAAAAAATGAGGATGGTTATTATTATTTACCATGTACAAGAAGACCAGATAGACAAGACAGGGAGAAGAGGGGAAAGGAGAAAAGATGAGTTAAGAATTACAGCAAAACATAAACATTTTCTATTTCTGGGTGCTGAAGCTAAGAACAATTTCATTTCTTTTTTGTTCTTTTTTTATTTTCAAAATGTTTGGAACATATGATACTTTTATAATACGTTTTACAAAGTAATATTAGAAGAACGAGGCTTATTTCTAAAGACAAATTATAAGGGAAATAAAAATCAACAACAGTCTTTTAGAGGTTAGAGAGTGGAGACCTCTGGAAAAGGATGCTGTTCAGATGATGCTGATTTCCTAAAACTCCAGAGGGCTATCCCAAGCCTTCATGTAGCCCATGCTGAGGCTCTGAAACTATCAATATATACAGAATTTACTGTCTATGTGGGGTAGGGGGGTATGCTTTTTAGAGAGTCCCAGTTTTTACCACATAAGAGGTTGGGAACCTCCCATACATGGTTATGAAGAAGAAAGGAATGATTACAGAAGTAGAAAAGGAAAACAGAATTTCCGTAATTTTCAGTCTAATATGTGATGCTCACTCATATATGTGATGCTCACTCATGTAAGAAGAAAAGGCCACAGAAGAAATACAAATACTCAGAACATTTTATGTTAAAGCCACTTGCTAAGAAATGATCAAACCAGAGGACTACACTTCTCAAAATAGTTTTGTTTTTAAATTCACCCTACAGAAGTCAACTATAGAATTCTTGTTAATGTCAAAGACACCCCAACAAATCAAAGGCAACAGCAGAGAACCGCAAAGATGTGACCTATAGGGAATCTGTTCAAAAGAATGGTGTGTGTGTCTACGCGCGCATGCGTGTGTATGCACGTGTGTACCCATAACAGATATGGTGGCTTAAATTGCTGCTCTCTAATTAGTGCCCTTCTGATTTACATTTGCAAACTTTGCTGGCAGACCTAATACTATATAGTCATCTCTTGGTATCCAAGGAGGATTGGTTCCAGGACCCACCTCGGATACCAAAATCCGTGTATGCTCAAGTGCTTTATATCATCTGGCACAGCATTTGCATATAACCCATGCACATCCTCCCACATACTTCAAATCATCTCTAGATCACTTATAATACCTAATACAATGTAAAGAGCTGCCAGTTCATAGTGAATTCAAGTTTTGCTTTTTGGAACTATCTGGAACATTTTTTAATCTATTTTGATCCACGGTTGGTTGAATTCGCAGATAGAGGGACAACTGTACTATCAAATATACTTTCAGACTCTGACAGTGGCCAATGGCAAAGACTGGTTTGAAAGAGCCTCCATCACGTAGAGAAAAAAGTCTGTCGGGACCTGATGCTCCAGTTCTAAAGCAGCACCTGCTTTAGCACTGCTCTAGGACAGTATTTTCACACTCTTGCATGTGTCCACTGGGGAAGTGGGAAAGCAGTTCTTCTCCTGCATTTACATCCCGAAGTTCTTTGAAACAAAATTAAGCACCTTGGGCGCCCCAACCGCTGATGTACTCTGCTGAGGAACGTCTTTTGAAGGCAACCAGAGGAAAGGCTATGATAGTGTGAGCCCGGCACGCTATATCCAAGGTCAGGTCACAGTTAAGTTCCCTCATCAGACTCCCTTTATCATCTTTATTTCCAAATTAAATTGAAAAACACACACGTGGATTTGTGACATCTATTAGCGTCTTCCAAGTCTTCCTCTAATTACCCTGGCCTCTCATTGACAGGCGGGTGACGTGACCCAGAAGCACACGCAGGGTTATAGCCAACTGTGTGAGCAACACGGGGCTCAGGATGACAGCAGCTTCTTCTCTTTCAAGTTGGCTCGTCACTCTGCTACCTGCTTCTGAACACACTCCACATCTGACACGAAGGGGCGCCCCGGCAAATTGGGAACCGCTCGGTTCCTCCAAACTCATGGCAGAGGTTGGAAAGGCACTGATGTCGGCCAATCCGTTCAGGAAGTCAAGCATTCACAGTCAATTTGCGAATCATTTTCTCCCTAGGCATATAGACTACACAAGACAGTCTTCATCATTAAAGCTCTTAGATCTACAGGTGTAGATTTTGATACCTTTTTTACATTCCTTTTATCATATTAGTAGGATTTGAGAGGCAGGGAGTGTTAAAAAGGTGGGCTCCATTTTTACCTTCAACCAGAATCTTCAAAGTCAGTTTGTTTATTGGTCATCCTGTGCATCTTATAATTTAAAGAGTTTAAAAGAGCGGAAATTAAAACCCTTAAATAGAAATTGCTGTTTCTAGAAGCCACATTTGCTTTTGTCTCTCTCTGCCTATTCTTTAACATTGCATTTCTAAGCTGTGCTCTGCTATAATTAATGAGTGCGGTCTTTGACTAGTAATAGATGAAGAATCAATGCATGTCATCTACCATTACAGCTTCTTGATTGCATGAAGAGGCTCATGATCTGGGGGGAGGGGCTTTGGATCACCTATCCTACGTGCGACTGCAATTCTGATCCTTATTTCCAATTAAAGAGTAAAATTTGGGTGTTCACTTTCAGGAGTTTCCGACAGGAAGGAATTCTAATGTAGAAGGAAGGAAGGAAGGTTTTCCAGTATGTACTGTAGAAATCACAACTCACAGATGCTTTAATTATGTTAGTTGCTTCAATGCAATGGGTTTTCCAACACCTTTACCATCCACTTATATGTGACCTTGAGAAAAGCTCTTCCTTCTTTCCCTCCCGCCCGGCTTTAACTTGCCCCTTTAGCTTCTACAAGGAATGAGGAAAAAGAGTCAGTATAAAAAGCGATCTACACCATCCCTAAAGCACAAGAATTGAAGCTGATCCAGGGAGAGGGTGGACAACATGTTTACTTACTCAGTGCAGATTTTGTTTTGTTTGTAAAACTTGTGCCGTGTAGCAAACAATCGAGATATATACTTGGCATTTTCGATATCATCCTTGAAGAAGAAGAAACAGGGGAAAAATAAACATTTGTTTGATTGTATTGGGCTGGCCAAAAAGTTCGTTCGGGTTGTGCCATCCAAACCCGAAGGAACTTTTTGGCCAGCCCAAATATATGCATTTCACTAGGACTCCTCTGAGCAGGGACACGTCCCTTCCTCCCTTCATGTCAAGCACAAAATAACCCCCTGAGCCAGAAACCAGTGTGCTGAAATTCAGTGGCGGTCATGTCTATGAAGCCCACCCAAGGATGGCGGACAAATACTGTCTGCTAAAGAATCCTTTATGCTCAACGCGCTGGGGTTACACTGATGATCTGGCGTGTCTTTACATAATGTTAAACCAAGTGCTTTAAAAATCAGTAAATGAATCAAGGCAGAGCGCAGCATGGACGCCAAGCGTCATCAGATGGGAGGCAGGGAGGTGCAGGGAGTGCCTTGGCTCTCAAGTAGGCACTCAACAGAAAGGCAATCACCCAGTCTGCTTCAGATCAGACTTGGATTATGATGGCAAAGAAAATCCAAACAAGCCAGTAAAAGAAAATACCACGCAATATCATCAGGGGTGACCGGTCAAGGGCCTGCCAGACAATGTGATCCACCACAAATGAGGCTGGTGGAGGAACCCAAACCCTAGAGTCAAAACTCACGTTGAAACCCCAGCATTGTGAGCATGAGGTCCCCACCACCTTCCAGAAATGAGTGATGACAGCTCTGGGCAAGTACTGGAAAGTTATGGGTTCAACAGAATATTTATTCTGTCATGACATGGAGAGCGAGGAAAAGATATTACAAGTTGAGAAGACAAACAGCAAGCTGCCTGTGGGACCCTTCCTTCACCTGTCCGTTTTGCTTACCGTGTGAAAGAGGGCAGTCTCCTCTTTGCTGATGAGCTCCACCAGGATAGTTGACTTGTTGTGAGTGATATTCCCCATGTCATTCCACCTGCACAGAAGAAAGCCAACGGCGTTTGCCCAAAGACGTTCTAGGCATTTATGACAGCAGAGGAGTGTTGCCTGTTATTACTGAGTCTCATTTTACAAAGTATGATTTAACCATATTTTTAAAAGCTAAACGTCCCTCCTCTCAAAGCAGAAAAGGAAATAAAATGCAACACGCATCTATTTAAATAGCTAAAAATCCTATGTCAACGACGTCTAGATATTGCTGTTAATAAAGTACACTTTCCTTTACGACCTAGGAGGAAAATATGCCAGAGACTTCCACTGCCTTGGTTTTCACACTTCCAAATGGACAGAGCATTTCCCGTGATCCCCGTTTTCAGTGCTGGAGGGGGATGTCATTTAAAAGTCATGTGTGGAATTCCCTGGCAGTCCAGTGGTTGGGACTCCGCGCTTTCACTGCTGAGGGCCTGGGTTCGATCCCTGGTCGGGGAACTAAGATGCCACGAGCTATGCAGCGCGGTCAAAACAAAGGAAAAAAAAAATCATGTGTCTCCAGGAATCTAGGCTGAAGAATGCACAGAGGTTCTGTGTTGTGATGTACACTACAGATTTGATTATGCCACTTGGAAAAAATGCCTAGGGAGTGTTTAATGTGCCTATATTTTTGCGATCTAAACACACACATAACGTTTCCTTCCCTTTCCTCATGGAAATCTTATCTAAAATGAGATACACAGAAAGAACCACCAGACAAGGGAAGGTAAGCTCCTGCTTCCCATTCTACTTGGAGCCAGTTTCTAATCATCTCTTATACTACCTACCCTTCACTCTGTTCCCCGACCTATAATTCCCTGCCCACTGCCTTCTCCCACCATCCTGCTTTTGCTCATTACACTTCTACCTCTGCCTGCATGATTCCTTTAAGACTCAGAAGAAGTCACCTTCTCCAGGAAGCCTTTCCTCATCCCCAAGCACCCACATGCCAGGAAAGAGCCTAGTGTAGTCCTCTATCAGTCACCACATTGTATCACCATTGTTCATGCCTGTGACCAGATGCCTAACTAAACCAAACTCGATCATCGGCCCTCATGCCCCGGGCAGAGATTCTGCTTTCTTCATCTCTGTATTCCAAGCACCAAGTACACCTGGCACACAACATACAATAGATGTTTGCTGAAATAATGAAAAGTAATGAGGTTGTCTCGCATCTGTATAGAGTACAGTTCTTTTATCAACTCTCTTAGGTAGACAAGGCGGCTATTTACGTTCCACTCTGGAGATGAGGCAATTCAGGCCAAAGGGAATGACTTAGCCTCACTCACTCTGCTCATCGGGGACGGATGAGTTCTACACCTTCCAGGTTTTCCTCCGATCAGCTTTCCATTACACCAGTACCACCTGTTTTTACATACATTTACAGGTGTTCTGCACAGCTGTCTGCTGACTTACAATTCCATTAGATCACATCCATGTGGACTCACAGCTATGTGCTCCTTAGTGAAGGTCTCAAGAGATAAGAGATATGTGGTCTCCTCTAGCAACACTCCCTCAAATCAACTGCCAAAATTCTGGGTCCACTCCGCACTCCGCCATATGACTTCACCTTAGTGGCACAATTAACATGACACTGTAGTAGGAGTAAGTTCCCACCTTGTAAGGGTCTCAAGGCAAGCGCTAAAGGAAGCAGTCTAGAAGCAGTTCCTAAGGAAACTGAACAAGACCTGTGAGGCGCTTAAGGATCAGCAAACTTTCAAATTGCTATTTTCTACTTAATCTAGATAGCCAGAATCCAAGATGTGTCTGCGTCTCCTCTCCAGACTCAAGCGCTGATTTAGCTACAAAGAACTGTGTGGGACAAAATGCCTGGAGAGCTTTACATGGGCATAAAAGTGTATAGTTACAACTCTGCACATATTTATATATTTTATTTAATTTGTTGTAGGTATATGAGTTGACCGAATATGTCCAAGAGTCAAAAAGCTTATTCTGTAGCTCCAAAGAGCTCTCTCCCTACTCCTGTTTCAATAATGTCTCTATTCAAAGAGCAAGAGAAAATAAATGGACAAAAATAATGGCAGGGTGGGGACCTAGGAAAATAAAAGCCAATTAGGAAGCTTTTAGTGGGAAAACTTTCTCAAAATGACCTGCAGTAACTGCTGATCCAGAGAATACACGGCTGGCCAAGAATTCACTTCCAGAAAGTGGCCCGTGCTTTGCCTCTAAGATCTGTCTTTGATCATCTGCCCTGCACATGCAGCTCTGCCTATCAGATGCACACACAGGAAAGCTGTATTTCTGGTAAATAATAGGCCATACCGCCCTCATAAATGAAAGCAAGCATGCAGTTTTTCGGATTGTTGATACTAGGATGGGATCTGTGGGCACCCATACAAAGCAAGCTCATTGACATGTAATGCAGGGGACACCCTGCCACTTCCCTATGCTCCTTCCTCTCATGTTAAAGGGAAAAGAAGGTTGAAGGGTCAAAATAATAAAAAGTACCCAAGTCCTTTCAGTTATGATAACAAATTGATTGCTTTTTCAAAACACACTTTCACAAATAGACCTCTTTCGTTAACAGAAAAATTAGTTTGCAGTTTTCTAGCACCCTCTACCTTAGGTAGAGGGTCCAGGGCAATGGAAAGAAGCCAGTGTGGATTTAATGACTGGTCATGGGTAATCGAGGCAAAGGTAATCCCATGGGGGCCTGACTCATGGAAGAGCCCATCTCCAACCAGACTCGTAGAGTTTTGCTCCACGCTTTGGCTCAGTGGAGGTTCAACTACGCATTTCTTGGGGTCAGGTGGAAAGAAAGAACATCCCCCATCCCCAAACAAACCCCCAGGGAAAGTGAGATGAACTTCTCCAAAACCCCTTAAATCCTGCAGAGGGGGCAGATCTTATCAGAGTTGAGAAAAGCTCAACTCTGATCCATGGTCTGCCTCTTAACTCATCTGTATAACTTTCAGACTCCATGGGGTTTGCTAGAGGACCTCGAGGGGAAAAAGCAGAAAGACAAATCAGACTACCTGTATATTACTGCTTGTCTTCCAATTCTGTTTCTCACGAATATCCCCATAAAGAAAATGCCCAGGTGCACACTGTTTCCATGATTGTCCTGCATAAGATCAACAAAAGATCGTTGTGATGAAACAGATCCCCAGCGGTCTGGCAGCCTACCCATGGGGACCACACCCCGTTTCTCGCCCATACGTGGAATGAATCATAGAATGGAATGGGGGCAGAAAAGCCACTAGGTCCGAAGGGACGCATCCCCCTGCACATCCTAATAGACTACATAGATACCTTTCTTTCTTTTACCTCAGTTTGTCACAATACATTTCCTGTTTGAGAAAGAATTTTAGGATTTTCTCAGATTTGTTGGCGGTTAAGATTTCCTCTTTCATGAATATCTATTAATATCTTTTCTAACCCTAGTTTTTGGTTTTTTAAATCAAAATTATACATGCACATAGTTTGATTATATCTGCATACTGCATATGTGCAATTATTTACGCACACAGTTTGAAGAACTGAATCCTCTTTAGATCTTATTTAAAAGCAGCCTTGGACCCACCATTTCCTCTCCCTTAAAGGCATCCACTTCCACCACTTAAAGCCCTAGAGTGTGTCTATTTGCATCCACCATGCTTGGCCTTCCAATTTAGAACCTCATGTTCCTCAGTTCTGGGATATTTTCTCAAATTACTACCTTCTGTTTCCCCTTTTCACTCCTTTTAGAACTCCCACTGTTCAGATGTTGGACATCTGGGCTGGCCCTCCAATTTTATCTCCTGCCTTCCACATTCCATTACTTTGGGTTTTTTGGGGGGTGAGATTTCTCTTAATTTAATCTTCTAACCTATCAAGTTTTCCATTTCTGATATCATATTTTAAATTTCTGAGAGTTCTTTTTTATTTGCTGAATGTTCCCTTTTAAAAGCACTCTATTCCTTCAAGAAGGTAATATATTTTAATTTTTTATCCTTGAGACTCATAGGATGGTATTTTGGGCAGGGGGCCCTTCACCCTGCAGACTCTCTGCCTCTTTCCCACTGCTTCATTCTCATTGGGTTGACGTCTATTGTTCCTATTAGGGCATCATGGGGGTTGATGATGCTCGGCTGTCTATTCACGTTCCAGGGTGGGATGCTAAATGCTGGCTGGGACCTTTGTGAGCACAGGAAGGGCACATGGATGATAGGCTTCACGGTTGGGCAACCTGCTGGGCCCTGTCTGGGGGAACCCAGAGGTCTTCAGTCTGGTCTCTTGGTCCAGTCAGGTGCCTCCAGCCTCCCGCCTGGAAGAGTATAACCCAGCTACCAGTGTTCTTGAGAGCAGAGTGGGAGCAAGGCTCAGCATCCAGTGAGTAAACTGTCACCCAGCCTCCTGCTTTCACTCGGGGGACATCCTCTTTGTGGAGTAAGTTGAGGGCCATGCCCAACTAGGCCTAAGATGGAAAAGATAAACCCCTACCTCCCTGAGAATACTTGATCCCACTTAAGACACAAAGATGACAGTGCCCCTTCTCAGGGACCTCTTCTCAACCCACCTCCCAAAGCTTCCATTCAAGTAGGCGTCTTCTAACAGAGAGAGAGAAAAGGAAAGACAACTGCTGATGGCAAAAGCCGAGACAGAAAGAACTGGGGAGGAAACAAGGGCCTCGGGGACCTCCCTGATGGTGCAGTGGTTAAGAATCCACCTGCCAATGCAGCGGACATGGGTTCGAGCCCCGGTCTGGGAAGATCCCACGTGCCGCGGAGCAACTAAGCCCGTGCGCCACAACTACTGAGCCTGCGCGACTAGAGCCCGTGCTCCGCAACAAGAGAAGTCCCTGCTCGTCTCAACTACAGAAAAGCCCACGCATAGCAACGAGGACCCAACACAGCAAAATAAATAAATAAATACATAAATAAATAGATAGACAGATAGATACATAAATAAATAAAAATTTTAAAAAGAGGGCCTCGGTAATTATGAGAAGTTCAAAGGTAAGCTGTATTACAGAAAAATCTGTGAGGGAAAAGAAGATAGGTGAAGTAGACGGGAAGAAAAAGGAAAATTCTGCAGAAAGACTTTTCTGGGCTCGTTGCCAGTAGGTGGGTGCAGAGGTCTGGTGGGAGTGGATGGGGACATGGGAGGAGCAGGCCACCAGGGTGGGACAACGGAAAAAACATAGAACGGATACCCGTCAGAACAACTTAGTCAAGGATTGAGGCTCCAGACTCTGTATGACCCATTGCAGAAGCTCCGTCCCCCCATGACCACGTGCTCTGACAATACAGGAGGATGGAGGCTGCGGCCAGCCCTGTGTTTGTGGAGGGGGAGGGGCAGACCTGTCAGGAAATGGAAGGGACCCCCGCCCTGAACCTTGAGAATTTTTGAGAAACCACTCATGGAAAAACCTACACTAAACATAAAGGTTCTTCCCTGGGACACATCCATAACACACTTTTTAAACCTTATTTGGTCAAGAAGGACCTGTACTAACCCAAAGGGACCCCATCCCCATGTGCAGGCTGCCCCTGCATACTTTCCTGGTGGCTTTTTCACTTAGAGCTGACCCCATCACTGCCCACATGGCTACTGCTGCCCCACCCATCATCCTTGGGTCGCCAGGAATCATGTGGTCTGTAGGTGGTCACCTGAGTCATGAACAGACATGTGGTGGAGGAAGAAAAAAAGCAGCAGCCCAGCTGAGTTACACCCACTGGCAGTGAGTCAGCCGTGCCTATCTGCCCACTTGGACTAAGCTCTGGTATCTCCCTTGTACTTTTCCCACTAAAGGACAGACTAGAAAACACATCAGAACCAAGCACGGTGGATTTCAACACTGTCTCCACTGCCTCTATTTCCCACAGCTCAGAATTACTAAAGACAACACAAGCAAATGACCACCACGACAAAACCTCCAACTTCCAGGGCCTGAGAAGTCAGTTTTCTAGAAGTGGAGAAAAGTTTACTCTGGTTTTCCAAAATGTCATGACTATATAAGGGCTGGTGAAATGGAACTGGGATGCAGATGGCTTCATAAGGTATTATTGCAAGGAAAATGGATTACAACCCTATGAAGGGCAGCCATTAGAGAAGCAAAAGAAAATTAAACAAATCTAAAAAAGAGCCATTTAGCCTTTTTTGCAAGCTGCGGACACCCTGCTCGCTTCTACTCGATACACATGGGCAGTTCTCATTAAGGCAAATTGTAAGCGTGCAACAGAGGGGGAACAGAACACTTATACAACAGCCAGCGGAGCCAGTCTGGAGTGAAATGTTTATGCTGAAATTGCAGGCATCTCCCAAATTGCCGAGATGTGCCAGTTGCTTTAGGTTTCTGATAAAACTCCATCTTTTGTAAAGTGGGTCAGCAGAGAGAGGAAAATGAGTTTGGAGGATGGGCTCAGCTCTGTAAATGACCTTGTACCATGACCCCCCAAACCACACCCACTTCAGGAGGTGGATTTGTTACAAAGGATGGGATGTGCTGTAACCGTTTCCTAGGCATAGTTTCCAGACAACACCAAAGGGGCTGGGAACCCACAACAGAGGCTCTGTAGAGCTGGAGAAATAAAGTATGATTGCATACAGGAAATGTTATTCTTCCTCACAAACAATTATCACTGCATCAGCCCAAAGAAGAGAAAAGAAAAGAAGCACGGGCAAGAAAACTGCTGGGGAGGGTCTGTATTAAGGCACGCATGATGTTTGCTCCTTGCCCCACCGGAAGGCTGGATGTGGCCTCGATAAATTCTTGGCACCAAAGGGGCTGGTGTTTGGTACTCACTCAGAAGGCTGTCTTACAAATGTCTTCTGCTGAAGACCATGGAAAGCTTCAAACTCTCTCCGTTAGGAAAAAGGGTTTGCTTTACCTAAAGTAAATTGGACTTGCCAGCTAATGCCACGTAGCAGTAAGGAAGCCAAGCCTTCTGGCTCTCTGCTCTCAATCAACACTGGTTTTCCAAATGCCTGTGCTGTTCTGAGACGGCTGAAGCAAGGAGAGGGTATGCTACCTTCACAGGGAAGATTTCCTGTCCAAAGCCATCCAAACGTTCCACCTCATTGATGTACATAAGCTCAGCTTCTGCTGGCAGGATTCCACTAAAATCAAAAGAGCATCAAAGGAGGAAATGGTTAAGAGCCATAAAGTCAGTGGAAGATCCTACCCTCCTGGTGGCAAATTCCAGAACTGTGGTTTTAGTTCTGGGAAAAGCCATTGTCACCCAACCAACTGTGCAGGCATGGTGCATTACTAAGTAATGCATTAACATATTCCTCAGTAGCCTTTTACTCAACAGGGAATAATAAGAGGAAGGTAAAATATTTAATTAAGAGCTACAGCCCTATAAACACTAAATAATTATTCCAGACATCCTGGTGAATAATGCTGCCTGCTTTAAAAAAAAAAAAAAAATGTATTTTTCTCCCACCTGGGAAGAAAATCTCCACTGTTAAAAAAGAAAGAAGGAAGAAAGGCAAAAGTTTCTGAGGATGACATTTTGGGAGCCAAGTAACCAAGATAAGAGAAGAGTCTAGGACCACTGCACATGTCCCAAAGAGCTCCACGTAGCCCTGATCAAGCTCTCAGGGATGCCTTAGATCTCACTCTTTCCCCTCCTGACCTTGACTTTCCCACCCTAAGCAGCTCTTGAGGTCTGCACTGAGCCCAAGCAGTCCCAGGCTTCCCAGGTCTGGCAACAGTTTTAGGAAGGTCACAGAGAGGAATTCCTCTGGCCAACGTGTGGGCCAATTGGTGTTAAAGAAAAAAAGGAAAATGTTAAAAAAAAAAAAAAAAAAAAAAAAAAAAAAAAAAAAAAAGAAAGGGAGGGAGGGAGGAAAAAACAAAAGGGAGAGAGAAAAAAAGAAAGGGGAGTGGTGACACAGTTTTCAAATCTACATGCACTCTCAGAACAGAGCTGAATCACTTGCTACAAGAAACAGAACTGTGCTGGCTCAAGCCGGGGCTTGCGCAAAGGGGCCGAATGTCTCCTGCCTCGGACAGGACGGTGGCCACGTGCTGGGCCTGGCAGCCCCCGCTTTACCTGTGGGCTTTGTGTTCTTGGGCCACCTTCTGTGTCAGCTCCTCCAGAACAGCTTCTTCCAGGGCCAAATCCTATCAAAATGGAAAGCAATTAAGGTCACTTGCTATTTTGCTTGCAAACCTTAAAAGCTCTCTTTTTTCTAGAAGTTGTTCCTGATTAGCTTCACTTCCTCAGTCCCCCTTTACTCCTTTGTTTGTTTGTTTGTTTTTGCGGTACACGGGCCTCTCACTGCTGTGGCCTCTCCCGTTGCCGAGCACAGGCTCCGGACCCGCAGGCTCAGCGGCCATGGCTCACGGGCCCAGCCGCTCCGCGGCATGTGGGATCTTCCCGGACCGGGGCACGAA